AAAGAAAGAAAGAAAGAAAGAAAGAAAGAAAGAAAGAAAGAAAGAAAAAAGAAAATAGGTGATAGTTTCACTGAAAGTTTTAAAGAATATCAATGTTAACAATGTTGCCCTGTTTTTCCTGAGGGCAAAAAAAAAAAAAAAATGAAATGATCTGAAACAGTAGTCATAAATCATAAATCATAAATCAATCACTGTCATAAATTTGCCCTTTCTCTTCAAAGATTAGGTCCACATCAACTGTAGAGAGGCTGAGAGATGATGGAGAGAACCCAAATGGCTTCTAGAAGCAGTAAATCCATCAGTTTCCTGGGTTGTCCCCCTGTAGTTACAAAGTCCATAATGGCCATTATTTCTTTATGGAGCATCCACGTGGTTCCAGGAATTGTACCTGGTACACTAGACATATTGTCTCGTTCACTTTATGTGACAGGTAGAACTATTTCCATTTTTCATATCAGGGAAAAAAGGAGGCTTACAGTCTCATATTGGTAATTAACATGGCAGGAAATCAAACCCAGCCATTTCCATCTGAGCCCTGATAACTGGTAGTCTTGGAGCACCTGGATGCACCATATTGTATTTGAAATCACCAGTGACCAGGGAATGCACTCCTTTGACAGAATGTTCTGGTTGCAAATTTTTTTTTTCTTTTCTGCATATCTGTCTCTCTATAACGTTAGTCTTTGTACTGCCTTTATTACTTTATATATTATCATTGTATATATATGACTCATCTCCTTTAGATTAGAGCCTTTCAAATATTTGAAGCCACCTATCATTCCACCTATTTTGTCACCTCAATCTCTTCTTATTTCTTGGTTAATGTCCCCAATGTAGATGGATTTGGCAATACTTTGAGAAGCAATTTCGTAGTCTGTATTTATCTCAGGGTTTCCCATGAACACCCTCGCAGGCAGGGAGGAAGTAATTATGTTGTACTGACAGATAAGGAAACTGAGGCAACACAGTGAAGTCCCTTCCTTCTTTCCTCCCTCCCTCCCTCCCTCTCTCCCTCTCTCCCTCCTTTCTTTCTTTCTTTCTTTCTTCCTTCTTTCTTTCTTTCTTTCTTTCTTTCTTCCTTCCTTCTTTCTTTCTTTCTTTCTTTCTTTCTTTCTTTCTTTCTCTCTCTTTCTTTTTCTCTCTCTCCTTTTTCCTTTTCTTTCTTTCTTCCTTTCTTTTCTTTCTCCTCCCTCCCTCCCTTCCTTCCTTCCTCCCTCCCTTCCTCCCTCCTTCCCTCCCTTCCTTCCTGAAATATTTCAAGTACATAATGATGCATTTGTTCTCTATAGAAGACGATTGACATAGGAACAACTATTTACTGCTTCCTAGTAAGAGTATGGCTAGAATTATAGAAAAGCTCCTCCCCACTAAAAGAGTGTGTTAAATTTCAAGCCCTTCATTTGCCTGCCTAGAAGCACTTTATAAGAGAAAGCTTTCCTTCTCTTCTTTCTCCTCTTCCTCCACCATCTTTCCAGTGTTTCAGTCTCACACTGCAACTGAGAGTCTGGCACATTAAAATAGGTTAGCCTTCAGGGGAGGTGGGGGGATGGGCAAGATGGGCAAAGGGGAGTGGGAGATACAGGATTCCCGTTATGGAATGAATTAGTCATGGACTAAAAGGCCCAGTATAGCAAATGTAGTCCATGGTATTGTCATAGTGTTGTGTGGTGACAAATGATAGCTACACTGGTAGTGAGCATAGCACGACGTCGAGGACTGTCGAATCATTAGGCTGTATGCCTAGAACTAATGTAACAATGTGTCAACTATACTTCAATAAAAAATAAGCAAGGTAAACTAGGTTAGCTTTCATAAATATGAAGACTATATTGCATGTGGAATTTTAGATCTTTTCTGATTTTTTTTAAATTTTTTTTTTCAACATTTATTTATTTTTGGGACAGAGAGAGACAGAGCATGAATGGGGGAGGGGCAGAGAGAGAGAGAGGGAGACACAGAACCGGAAACAGGCTCCAGGCTCTGAGCCATCAGCCCAGAGCCCGACGCGGGGCTCGAACTCACGGACCGCGAGATCGTGACCTGGCTGAAGTCGGACGCTTAACCGACTGCGCCACCCAGGCGCCCCAAGATCTTTTCTGATTTGATTCTTAACCTACAGCTTGTGTTCTAAGTAACAGGCAAATAAAGTATGTTCTGGAAGATTAGAAATCACTCAAGTACAGTAAGTTTAAGGCCATATCTATTAAATCAGGTTTGGCTACACCCCAGTGCAACAAAGGCTCAGCTGCCTGGCCAAGGACAACTCCATCTACGTTGTGGCAAATATTGGGGACAAGAAGCCATGCAATGCCAGTGACCCTCAGTGTCCCCCTGATGGCCGTTACCAGTACAACACTGATGTGGTGTTTGATTCTGAGGGTAGGCTGGTGGCACGCTACCATAAGGTAAGAATATCTTCTTGTGTTTGTTTGTGGTATATATGTACATTCATTTGTTGAACATGGCCGAAAGAACTGTTATGAATGCGTCTCTTGATTATTACGCTTTAGTTGAAAAGGGGGTTTCATTTACTCTGGTCTCATATAAGGGTTCTGAGTTTGAATTAAGCATAAAGCAGAATTTGGCAGAATATTGAATGTGATCATAGTCTCACAAAGATGTTAATAGTCTCTGAGAAAGAAGGAGAAATGCTGTTATACCCTAGTTAGTGTTTTGGCTCAATTCATTGACACTCATAGCATGACTAAGCTTTATCAGATGTAGTCTGTCCCTCAGAGGCTCAAAAGACGTCAGCCATTCCTCTAGCTCTCTTAACCTGTGTTACAGCTTTTACTCGAGCTGTGCTTTTAGAGACCCCATGGTGCTCAACATAAAGCTCACATTCTGTAGGAGCAAAATCCAGAGGAAGAGTGTATTTTTGTCCTGCCTTGTAGACCTCGTCATCACCCCTTGACGCCAGTTAGGATACGTGCCTTCCTTGAGCCGATCCCTGCGGGATGAAGGACAAGCTTCCACCTGCGTGTAGGGTAGAGGAGCAAGTGACCCTCACTGAAAGGGAGGGGGTATTGCCAGAGCACACATATGTACACATCAAGCCTCATGGTACATAGTATCTGAGCAAGTACTCTTGACCCGGGGCAAAGTGGAGTTGGGGAGCAATAATCAAGCTGGAAAAAAATTACCAATGGCTCACTGATTAACAAGTGTGAGCTATTACCTTGCCTAACTTTACTTTAAATGTACTTCACTTCTATAAACCCAGCAGTATCAAAGGGAGATATGACAAAGTTAATTTTATTACTACGTGCTAGGATTCACACTGGCAGTGTTGTTGGTATTTAAAGAATACAGTGACAAAAAATCTGAAGTTTATAAGATTCAGATTTTCAACCTGTGATGTTAAGAGAAATAGTCACCTTTCAAGTATCGTTTTTAGATATGATTTCGTTCGTTAGTTGTGGAAAGGTGGAGTTTTCTGACCAGCACCGTCGTAATAAAACTCCTAGACAGTGGTATACTGGGTGTGATTTCTGCAAATTTATGTGCAATAGTTTTAAATATGCATGTCAACATGGCTGGGAAAAAATTTTGATGGGTATGAAACACCTCTCCTTGGTAGCTTTCTCATGAATTTCCCCCTTCTTTGCTTTTTGTTAACAGTACAATCTTTTTGCGCCTGAAATTCAATTTGATTTCCCCAAGGATTCAGAATCTGTGACTTTTGAGACTCCTTTTGGGAAGTTTGGCATTTTCACTTGCTTTGACATTTTTTCTCACACCCCAGCTGTGGTGGTGGTGGATGAGTTTCAAGTGGACAGCGTCCTCTACCCGGTGGCGTGGTACAACACGCTGCCCCTTCTGTCGGCTGTTCCCTTCCACTCTGCGTGGGCCAGAACCATGAGAGTCAACTTGCTTGCTGCGAATACCCACAACACCAGCATGCACATGACAGGTAACTCACACGTGTCCTGCACCGACTGGCCATGATAGCCTTAGACAGTCTTCATTGATTTCCAAACCACACTTGTCTTTAATAATTCCTTTATTAATTCTAATGTCACAAAATTAATAATAGCCTGGCTTTCAGTGCCAATATGTTTTAAGGACCATTATCCCTATGAGTATGGAAGGAGGTAAACGCTATTATCTCAATTACACATGAGGGAACATTGGAGTTAAAGAGAAGTCAAGTCACATGAACAAACAAACAAAAACAAGCAAAAAAAGAAAAACAAAGCCAGATCTAAAGAACTTTGCTGCCAGCATCCATCAGTAATAGTGAAATAAATCTTTGTGGTTAAGGTGATAAAATCATTTTATTTTATTTTATTTTATTTTATTTTATTTCAACGTTTATTTATTTTTGGGATAGAGAGAGACAGAGCATGAACGGGGGAGGGGCAGAGAGAGAGGGAGACACAGAATCGGAAACAGGCTCCAGGCTCTGAGCCATCAGCCCAGAGCCCGACGCGGGGCTCGAACTCACGGACCGCGAGATCGTGACCTGGCTGAAGTCGGACGCTTAACCAACTGCGCCACTCAGGCGCCCCTAAAATCATTTTAGACTTAACCAGAGTTTATCCTTCATTGCATCCATGTTCGAGGTAATACAAGCTCCCCTCTTGACTGCTTGGGTTATTCATTGATCCAGATGAAGAAACTTAAACACAAATAAATTAGGTCAGCAGAGAGCTAAAATTATTCTTCGTGTTGGGGAATTTTCTAGTCGTTTGTTAAGTTGGTTAAAAAAGAGGTAGTTTAAGTAAGAAAGTCAATTGACCCAAGTCAATTGATAATTTCAGTGCAAGCAGAACCTAAGGGAGGACACAGAGGCAAATGGGAACTATGCCAGGCTAACAAGCCATCTCCTTAACTGTCCTGAAAGTGCTTATGCTTTCATAAAGCCATATCGAATTTCTCTGGGGGATGATTTTATGAGTTTGTAACCATGCAAAATTTGGAACCAATATTTGCGTTGCCTTGTGTCGCCATAGGGAGTGGAATCTACGCACCGGAAGCGGTCAAAGTGTATCACTATGACATGGAAACAGAGAGTGGCCAGCTGATGCTGTCCGAACTGAAGTCCCGGCCGCGAAGTGAACCCACCTATCCTGCAGCTGTTGACTGGAGTGCTTATGCCAGAAGTGTCAAGCCATTCTTGTCTGAACAGTCAAATTTTCCGGGGATGATTTATTTTGATGAGCTCACCTTCATTGAGCTTAAGAGAAACACAGGAAATTACACAGTTTGCCAGAAAGACCTGTGCTGTCACTTAACTTACAAGATGTCGGAGAAACGAACAGATGAGGTTTACGCACTAGGTGCTTTTGACGGACTGCACACGGTAGAAGGTCAATATTACCTACAGGTAAACAATAGTGACGTAAGTTAGAATGGATTGTTTATTAGTTTTTCTTCTGGATCATCGCTGCATTTCTTTAAAAATCGTGCTGGATTCAGTTACTTGGTAGCCCGTTACAGTCATCACTGAAGTTTTCCCCCAGCACACTTTGTTTAGTCTTAGCAAGAACAGAATGTCTTCTCTTGGCTGCAAGGTAAAACATAAAGCGAGTTGATGAGTGAGCTCTCAGCCAGCTGGATTCAAGTTGAAAGGCTGCAACCTCCATGCCTTCTCGTTTTGTGTCAGGTTACTTTAGAACAGTGCTTTTCGAACTGTCTTCAACAGGAGTCCAGAATCAGAAGTCTGTTTCATGTTACGATGCTGTGCGGTCAAGATGCGTGATGGTAATTGAAACAAATATTTTATTTATTACTTCAATTAGAATTAGAAGTAGCCATAATTATGAGCAATAGCAGTCAGACTTTTAAAATCCAATTTATTGCATTTCACTTTATTTAAAAGAGACACAGAGAGAGAGAGAGAGAGAGAGAGAGAGAGGGAGGGAGTTAGTCCTGACCTATTGAACTGATTTTCAGATTCACTAATAGCCTCTGACCTCCAGTTTGAAAAGACTGCTTAAGAGGTGTAGGGGATAAAGGCAGGCCATCCCAAGAGGAGCCATTTGGGCATGAAGATTATTGTGAATTAAAAAAGCAATTAAAAGCCAGAAGATTCAGAAAAAGCTCTTTACCTCCCCCACAACTGCCTACAAGAATTTAGGTAGAGGATCTGCTTCAGAAAGGGAGCTATCAGGGTAAGGATGTGAGGACAGGAACCAGGTGTGGTGAACAGGGAGGAGCCTCACAAGGCCTGTTGGATCAAAGGCCTCCACATTCCAGCGTTTCTAAGAGGCCCGGCAAATATTTGTGTACCCAATGTTTATTCTTTCTCATCTTACTGTAAATTGCATTCCTTCCCTTTGAAGTCCCAGACCCCTACGCCCTCCTCCTTATTCCAGAACGATATGCGCACCTCATTTTGCCTGTCTTGGGAATTGCCATGTCTGTGTGGATTCCCAAATGTACAAAATTCAATTTGACGTTCTCCTGTTAATCTGTCTCGTGTCCATTCAATTCTTAGTCTGGCCAGAAGGACCTTGACGGGGACAGGAAATTCTTCCTCCCTGACAGATGCGACTTAACAAATCGTCCTCTATTCCTTGAGATCGTGTCTTTCGTGGAGAAACTATTTCCAAGATCTCTGGCTACTTCTCTCTCCTTTGCCTACACAGATATGCACATTACTGAAGTGTCAAATCAGTGACCTGAGAACTTGTGGGGAGCCCATGGGGTCAGCTTTCACCAAGTTGGAAGATTTCTCCCTCAGCGGCACATTTGCAACACGTCATGTTTTCCCACAGATCATTCTCAGTGGAAGTCAACTTGCGCCTGAAAGGCATTATGAGGTAGGAGGAATTCAGGATGATCAATTTCTTTGAACAGATGGGGTAGACTAGCACCCTGGAAATCTTTGAGATTATGACACAGCGTTGCAGTGCTGTGGTTCACATTATACAGGCAGAGCTTTAAAGACACGGGAAGCTTTAATATGGAAGAGAAATTGTGGTTCTAGATGTCTTTAGGCTGTGACAGAGAATTTGGGGTTCACTTTTTCTACATGAATGCGATGCTGATATCCAAGGCAACAGTAGGGTTATGGACGACCGCAGCTAATGTTCTCTTTATTTGCATAAATAAATAAAAAATTTTTTTTTTAATGGTGTGAAGGCCCAAGTTAAACACATTAAACAATGCACCTACAGCTTATTTCATGGGTATGTTATTTTGAGAAGTTGTTATAATGATAGCAATAATGAGAGTAATAATGGCGGTGCTTCATGAGTTAAAAGAATTTTTTTTATACGTCATCTTTTTTAACCACCTGTGCGGTAGTTTTTTTGCTGCACTTTCACCCAAATCTCTCTACCCTTCGACCTTTAGATCTGGCACATGGGTCTTCTGACACCAAATCCCGTGTGCCTGTCTGTTACTATTTTAGAATGATGCTGTCAGAGAAGGCCTCTGGGCTGGAAACCAAAGCTCTGCATTGGAGTTAAATCCTTTGCTCTCTTTGATCAGGTCTTGAGAGACGGACGTCTGAGGAGCCGAAGCAGAACCCCTCTGCCTGTCTTAGTTTTGGCCCTGTACGGAAGAGTGTTTGACAAAGACCCTCCGCGCTTGGGGCAAGGACCCCGGAGATTAGAATAATCCCTTTCCACTGGCACACTTTCAGGATTACCCTGGCAAAGAAAGGGAGAGGGAAAAAAAAAAAAAAAAAAAGCTTCATGTCTGTGTAGAAGAGATGTCACAAATTGGCCGGAACAACAAACTTAAAACGTGAAAAGCAGTGGATGGGTTTTATATGTTTTACGTTTTCCGTATTTGATATATAGCACCAACTCATTTGTGGGAGCTGCATGTAGGATCCGTGTAGGTGCAACGTAAGTATATGTGAGTATATGTGTGTGTAGCAGAACATGCAGTTAAATGGAGGGGGACTTAGAAAACTCCTTTTGTGTTAACTACTCTGATATATGTGAATGTTTGTCTATCATTTGTAAATACACAGGGGGCACCTTAAGTATGCAGAGGGCTTTTGATCCTCGTTGATTACGATATAGGAAGGAAAAAAACAAGGGCATCTCCTAAAGTAATTATGAGTAACTTTTCAAAAAATTTTGAGTAACTTGTTAACTGATTAAAATTCTTCTATTATCTGTTTATTCTACTCTTAAGTTCTAATTGTATGGAAATCAGATCCTTAGGACAGAAATAAAAAAGAAAAAATGATCTCCTTCAGACCACACTCTGTTTCCTTCTGGAAATATTCTATCCTAAAATTTATCCAATCCCGATTAAACCCCCTGGATCCTCAGATTTGTTGCAGTCTGTGTTACACTGGGAGCTTCCTTAGAAAGGGCCAACCTGTCACCTTTCCCCCAGTTACCATTGGTCTCTCAGCCCTGTTACCGCTGAGCTCTTTTTTTTTCCAGGTGGTCACTGATTAACACTGGGAAGAGACACACAGGAGAGCAGGGGGCTTTCTGGTTCATGCGGGAGTGGTTGGGGATCACTCTGGGCTGGGGACATCTTTTTCACACAGAAGATGACAGTTGCTCTCCTAGGCTTCTCCCAGATGCTTATTTCCATTCCATTTAGTTCAACCCAGTTCCAGGAGGCTGGAGATGTTCTGAGCAGCAGACGATCTCCTTGATCTCTGCTCCCATCATGTCTGGATTTCCTCTCCAGGGGCTATGCCATTCAGATCCCAAGATTGTACCAGTGCCCTGGACTCTTCCATGCGGGACATGGGCATCTTCTGTCCTGATGGTCTTGTGCGGGCTTTTTCTAGGATTCTTTCCTCTCTTTCCTAGACATTTGTCTGGTGACAGCATTAGTACCTGGTGGCCCCAGCCTCTTCACCACCCTTCACCCCATGCATGTTACGTAAGCGACCTCTGCCCCCTTTCTCTAGCATGAGGAGACCACAGAATCACCAGATCCTGTGAGTTTCTCCACTCCTACTCACAATGACTCAACAAACAAGCTGTCTCTCTGGAAGTTGTTTTGATCCTTATCTTTTAATACCACATGTTTTTTATTTCTTTGACCTCTTTAGTCTCTCTTTTATCTCCCCCCCCCCCCCACTTTATTTACCATGACTTATAAATGAGGATCTCTGATAGACTCACTCCTCAGAGCAGCGACTTCCTCGTCTAAATTCTTTCTTTGGAGAGTGAAATCCTTCTTTTGGCTTCAGCTAGTATTCCTGAGTCAGCAGAGTATAATCTACAGGTGAGCAAAAATATTTTTTTCTTTTTATGGGAGCCAGTTTAGCCACAGAACAATGGTTAGGACTGATAGTTAAAAAATAAATGTTTTATGAAGTTCTGTGGCAAAAATATATACATTCTTACAATGTAAATAACTGTACCCATCAGATTCACGTCTGTAGAAAGCTGAAAGTGTTGTAGTCAGTAAGTATTAAATAACAAGAATTCAACTGAGTAAATTTAAAGACCAAATTGGCTTCATTCAGTGATTTATGAGCCCAGCAGCATTTCATCTAGGGGGGAAAAAAACAAGACCAAAACTCCATTGAGGTTTAGAAAAAGGAAGGTTTTTAAAGGCAGAGAGAGAGTGGAAAAAGAAAAATTATTATCAAACAATGCATTATTTTATTCAAGGTGGCTCTCCTACGGGGAGCTTAAGGATTAAGTTGTAGTACAGCCCAGGAAATTTCAGGTTGTCTGGTTAAAGTTCACATTTCTGGGAGAAGTTGAAGCTGCCAGTTAGGTTAGGTATTAAGTCTTGGTGGGGTTTAGAATAAGTGACTCCATTTTGGAACTGCTGTCTTCTTTTTAACAATATTAATATCTAGGCATATATATTTAGTAGCAACACGGAGGCAGATCTCTTATCTTTTATCATACATAACATACTATAACTCTGACTCCGATCCCACTTCTGGTCACCACCTACAATTCTGACACCCAATTCTGAGGTGGGGGAGGAGGGTCCCACACCATTAAGCAATTGTCTGACACCAGCTGGAGGTCCTACAATTCAACTCAATTCTGATACTATATACCTAGAGACAGTGCTGGGTCCCACAGTTGAAGGGCTTAGCCCCACAAAACTGCCCTCTCCCCACTTTAGACGTCAAGCCCAGATTGTCACCTGTGCTTCTGACTGACTGGTTATACAAAGGAGGGTCCAAGGACCCCCTCCTTCGGTTTGGTTAATTTGCCCTAGTGGCTCACTAGAACTCAGAAACATTTTACTCACTGGATTACTCGTGTTAAAAAACAAAATTCAACCGAGTAAATTTGAAGAACTAATTGTCTTTGGAAATGATTCATGAGTCAGGCAGGCAGCATCCCATTGCAAGTGGAGGGGAGCTCCCCGGAGCTAAACAAGAAAAAGGTATTTAAAGGCAGAGAAAGGGCATAAAAATAAATAAGTAGAAAAATAAAGTAAAATGAAATGAAATGAAATGAAATGAAATGAAATGAAATGAAATGAAATAAAATAAAATAAAATAAAATAAATAAAAAAGAAGAAGAAGGAGAAGGAGAAGAAAGGAATTTATTAGCAAGGAATGCATTGTTTAGGCCAAGTTGCCTTTCTAAGTGGAATAGTAAGTACTACTTACTACTCCAATCCTGGTCTAGAATTGACCAGGAAATTTGATGTTGACTGGTTACAGGTTACATGGGGTAACATTTGGGGTGTTGCAATTGCAGTAGTGGGTTAGGTAGTAAGTCTTGGTTTACTTGATGGGGTTTTGGGGTGATGATGGGTTGGTCCAGAGCCAATGGCCAAGGAAGAATTCTTGAAGACATCTTTGGTGCAAAAAGGTGATTTTATGAAAGCACGGGGACAGGGCCCGTGGGCAGAAAGAGGTGCACTGGGGTTGTGACGGGTAACTGATTATATACCATCAGGTTGGGAGGGGGTCAGGGGTAGAGTAAGTCTCTAAGGTATTTTGGAAGCAAGGTTTTCAGGACCTTGAGGCAGCTGAGCTCCTGGAGGGAGGTCACTCTGCCTGTTTCAAGGACTTGTCCATGGGGTGTAGGCAGTAAGGGGATTTACTTTTTCATTTGCCTTTGTTTCCCGCATCATCATGGCAAGTACTTAAACCCCCTTCCATCTTGATGAGGGTGACAGTAGGGCTCCAGGAAACAGAGCCTATAGGTTTCTGGAGATTAAGCTATGGATAAGATTGCCTTTTTCTTGCAGTTTACTAAGTTATCTGTAAACCGAAGGAGACTCCTGTCCTGCATGACTGTGATCTCTATCAGTCAACCATTTGCTTTCTTTCCTTTCCCCTGTTCTTGGGCAGCCGGGGGTGTCTGAGAAATATCACTCATATCCCACCTAGTGATGGCAGGGGGTTCTGTTAGCCTGTACTTTGCCCTCAGTTTGCCCCAGGATCCCTCATCCTACTTGACTTGGCGCCTTAACCTAAGTGATGCCATTTTGGGTCTGTGATTTTCTTTTTTTTTTTTTTTAATTTTTTTTTTCCAACGTTTATTTATTTTCGGGACAGAGAGAGACAGAGCATGAACGGGCGAGGGGCAGAGAGAGAGGGAGACACAGAATCGGAAACAGGCTCCAGGCTCTGAGCCATCAGCCCAGAGCCCGACGCGGGGCTCGAACTCACGGACCGCGAGATCGTGACCTGGCTGAAGTCGGACGCTTAACCGACTGCGCCACCCAGGCGCCCCAGTGTGATTTTCTTTTTAACAATCCCCTCCTTTTGATCAGACTTTCAGCTTACCTGAGAGATGTGATCAAAATTTAAGGCAGTAATGCCACTGCTCTGAAGTTCTCGAAGCTTTTGTTGATTCTTTGTGTGGCATTCACAGGTCATGACTTTTTTCTTTACCTCTGTGATATCTGCGGATTATGAGTTTAGGTTTGCACCCTGTAAGTCAATCATCCTTGGTTCCTTTGCTGATGCATTTAAAAATTTTGAAAGAATATCAGGTACCAGGAAGGCTGTTATGATTACTATAAGTGGGATAATTCCCGACGTTTGGAGTGTACTTTGAAGTCATAGTCCCTGCTGTCGGGTCGTTGAGCGCAACAGTCAAGAAAGAAACCTTGAAACATTTTTGGTGCAAAAAAGGTGTTTTTATTAAAGCCAGGGACAGGACCCAGGGGCAGAAAGAGCTGCACTTGTGATTGTGAGGTGTGACTGATTATATATTTTGGAGTTTAACACGCAGGGATTTCTGTATGTTAAAGAAAACTTCTAGGATCCCGGAGGTCTGGTTATTGTCAAGCTAAGGTTGCTTTTCGTCTCTAGCAAAGCATTAACATTAAGGCAGTTTGTGAGTTCCTTAAGGAATGTCATACTCTGCAAGTCTCAAGTATTTATCAATGGGCTGCAGGTTGTAAGGAAATTTTATTTGCATTTCTTTTGCCTTTGGTCTCTTCATTATTCTCTTCCCACCCCCACTCTCCACACCCCCCCCCCCAACAATTTTGACCCTTAAATCTTTGAGATTGCTGAGGTGGAAGGTCTTGTCTTCTGTAACCTTTTCCTATGTAGAGATGTCCCTACCTATGGGTCAACATTGATCAGTTGGGGAATTTATATAAAGGAGTTACGAAAGGCAGAGGCAGTCAAATCCAAGACAGACAACATACATGAATCTCTTTCATCTGTCAGCTTGAAGTCATGGAAGTGAAGGAGCTTAGGCACCAGGCAGGGAGACACTGGAAGAGACCACAAATTAAGATCAATATTATTATGAGAAAAAGAAGCCTAATAAAGAGACCTGTGGTAGTTGGACTGAAATTTTCCTTCCGTCCAGGAGCTTAACCAATCATTAAGGGAGAGAGAAGGATGATGTAAAGTGCCAATTTGGGGATTCATACCTTTAGCAATCTTGTTATGTTTTTGTGATAATCTGGAGTATATCTTTTAAAAATTCTGGAATATATACACTACATTCCGTTTTGATAATGGCACATGTAACTACTTGTGCAGCTGTTAAAGCAGGTAAGGTCATTTAATTTTGCAGAACTGCTTTACATATCTGCTTAATGTCAGCATTAAGGAAATACTGCTTTGTGAGTCATTTAGTGCTTTTACAGTTTATTGATTAAGGGCTTCCATATGCCAAATGACATTCTCTAGTCCCATTGATGGAACAAAGATGGACATTAAGTGATCATATCGGTGAAGTATTGACCGTGTCCATTGTTGTTTTAAATTTGGAAGATTAGTCATGGTTTTGATAATACACCGATAAATCCAAGCAAGACTCAAGGGGCAATGACCTATTATCCATCCTGGAGGAAGCCAGGGCCATAGGTTAGATCCACATAACCATTGGATCCCGTTTGGAGCTACCCATCCCATTCTGGGCTACCCTGTCTAATCAGTAGCAAACCAATCAGAAGCAAACCAATCAGTAGCCTGGAATACAATGGTTTGAGAACAGATTTCTAGAGATAGCCAGCCCAAACGTCGTGTGCTGTTTGTCCAGGTATCATATATATGGTTTCTTTGTTTCTAGTGTAAAATTGCCTTTTGCCTGAGTTGTCCAATGAAGGGGTGTGAGCCATAAATATTAATCCCAGATTTGGTATATATATTGTCCTGGGTAAATTGATAAGTAGAGTTTTATAATCTAGGCACTCCTTGATGGGCATTAACTAGTGGGCTTGTGAATTCAATTAAAACCTTAGTAGGGTATGAAAAAGTCGGGTTATGACCTGGAAAGTTCCAAGTCATACTGATCATGGGCCAAGAAGAAACATTATGTCTAATGATAGAATTATCACGATACATGCTAGTGTTAGGATTATGTATTATTTTTTTTTTAATTTTTTTTTTCAACGTTTACTTATTTTTGGGACAGAGAGAGACAGGGGGAGGGGCAGAGAGAGAGGGAGACACAGAATCGGAAACAGGCTCCAGGCTCTGAGCCATCAGCCCAGAGCCCGACGCGGGGCTCGAACTCACGGACCGTGAGATCGTGACCTGGCTGAAGTCGGATGCTTAACCGACTGCGCCACCCAGGCGCCCCAGGATTATGTATTATATCTAAAACATAAGTGCATAAGCAGTACTAAGCAGTGCCTTGTAAAGGAGAAACACATCAGGGTAACCCAGACATACGTGACATGGGCAAAACTCCACATATCCAACAAGCTATTTGATTCTGAAGTCCAGTATAATGTTGTTCCCATTGTAGAAAGGACTTGTCTATTAAAATGGGTGCACAGAGAATGAAAAGAATTGTACAACCTTCATCGTCATTTGACATCTTCTACAG